TGCTGCTGAATTTTAATAAGAAAGACCATAAAATGCATTTTAATCGTATTTTAGATTATTTGGGAGCTTAGGGGTCATTTCAATTGAACTCGCTTTTCTGGAAAAAAAGCAAGGCTATAGCCTTAGGAAAATTGCAAAAAAACTCGTCCAAAACCTCTATCACTTTTGAAAGACTTGCTGCTGAATTCTAATAAGAAAGACCATAAAATGCATTTTAATCGTTTTTTAGATTATTTGGGAGCTTAGGGGTCATTTGAATTGAACTCGCTTTTCTGGAAAAAAAGCAAGGCTATAGCCTTAGGAAAATTGCAAAAAACTGGTCCAAAACCTCTATCACTTTTGAAATAATTGCTGCTGAATTTTAATAAGAAAGACCATAAAATGCATTTTAATCGTATTTTAGATTATTTGGGAGCTTAGGGGTCATTTCAATTGAACTCGCTTTTCTGGAAAAAAAGCAAGGCTATAGCCTTAGAAAATTGCAAAAAAACTCGTCCAAAACCTCTATCACTTTTGAAATAATTGCTGCTGAATTCTAATAAGAAAGACCATAAAATGCATTTTAATCGTATTTTAGATTATTTGGGAGCTTAGGGGGCATTTGAATTGAACTCGCTTTTCTGGAAAAAAAGCAAGGCTATAGCCTTAGGAAAATTGCAAAAAAACTGGTCCAAAACCTCTATCACTTTTGAAATAATAGCTGCTGAATTCTAATAAGAAAGACCATAAAATGCATTTTAATCGTTTTTTAGATTATTTGGGAGCTTAGGGGGCATTTGAATTGAACTCGCTTTTCTGGAAAAAAAGCAAGGCTATAGCCTTAGGAAAATTGCAAAAAAACTCGTCCAAAACCTCTATCACTTTTGAAATAATTGCTGCTGAATTCTAATAAGAAAGACCATAAAATGCATTTTAATCGTTTTTTTAGATTATTTGGGAGCTTGGAGGTCATTTCAATTGAACTCGCTTTTCTGGAAAAAAAGCAAGGCTATAGCCTTAGGAAAATTGCAAAAAAACTCGTCCAAAACCTCTATCACTTTTGAAATAATTGCTGCTGAATTCTAATAAGAAAGACCATAAAATGCATTTTAATCGTTTTTTAGATTATTTGGGAGCTTGGAGGTCATTTCAATTGAACTCGCTTTTCTGGAAAAAAAGCAAGGCTATAGCCTTAGGAAAATTGCAAAAAAACTCTCCAAAACCTCTATCACTTTTGAAAAATTGCTGCTGAATTTTAATAAGAAAGACCATAAAATGCATTTTATCGTATTTTAGATTATTTGGGAGCTTAGGGGTCATTTCAATTGAACTCGCTTTTCTGGAAAAAAAGCAAGGCTATAGCCTTAGGAAAATTGCAAAAAAACTCGTCCAAAACCTCTATCACTTTTGAAATAATTGCTGCTGAATTCTAATAAGAAAGACTATAAAATACATTTTAATCGTCTTTTTAGAATATTTGGGAGCTTAGAGGGCATTTGAATTGAACTTCCTTTTCTGGAAATATAGCAAGGTTATAGCCTTAGGAAAATCGCAAAAAAATTGTCGATAAATTTTTCTTGTATTTATGCATATTTTACGCATTTTTGACAAGTTATGTCATTAAATCAGTTTATAGCGATAGGAAGATCTAATAGAACAAGCTTTAATTAGAATTTTTCGAACAATTCTGGTACTTTCACCTTGTTTTCTAGTTTTGATAAAAAAATATGATCAAACAGCTTTTGAGAAGGTCCGGAAATGGGAGATGCATGTTGAAAGGTGAACACTATCCAGCCCCCCTTGAAAACTTTATTGTCTTGATTTGTAGGCCTGATTCGCTAAACATCTGGCAAGGAATGACGTGAGTGAGGATATTTTTACTCGAATCTACTTGAAAAATGTCTGTCGAATTATTCATTATTACGGTATAGAGATTGGCTGTAGCACGTTTTCTACTGTGAAGAGTATCAGACGAGATGTCTTAAAATATTTGCCTTTTTCAAAGCCACTTCTAAACTTTATTTCCATTTTACTAAGAGGAATATGATCGTCTGATTACCTGGTTGCAATATTGGAAGTTGATGCAAGGCTGGTAAAACACAAAGCAATATGAAAGCATGTTGGGTTCGCAAAATTTCATGGTCTTTCCTTTGTATCCTATAAAAGTACTAAAAAGACAAATTGACACTAATAAAACTAGTGAAATTTAAAAAAGTTACCAATAAATAACATAAATAATGCAATCGATATAATCTACAAAATACAGTTTATTTCATAATTTTTTTTCAGGCAATGATGTCAAAATTAAAATACTCTTAAATAGATCTTGATGAAGATTTCAATCTATGACGTGAGCTTCTAGGATTGATCTGCGTCAATACGTCACTCAAAAAATGATAGATTTTAGCAAGTTTTGTAAACTACAAAAGCGCTGTGGGAGAATTGATGTAATGAGGGGGGAGGGCGCGCTCCCAAATAAGCAAATATCTTGGAGAGAGATGTTTAAGTGGCCAAAAAACAAAAAATTGGGCTTTTACAAGTTACGATTTACTTTTAAGCGTGCTCCAGCTACACTAGACAAGCACTACCTAAATAAACTAGACGTACAGTATTATCTGCAAACAATATGGACAAATCACGGAACATTTCAACATTTCAGAAGAAGCCCACTAGAGAAAAGGAATGGCCAGCCATATGATTGATAAAGCATTTTCTGACCCAAAGCATAGGTTACTAAGGCCCAAAACTTAGCCTGTTCGATAAACTCTCTGCTCACAACATAAATACTACCACTTTCTTCATCTTTCCTCGCTCAATGCTCTTCTGTAAAAACAAAAAAAATGTATGTGTCAATGACAAAATTGTTCATGGTCCTAGAATAATACATGATCCTAGAATGAGAGGAAAGGCATTCGCAGATCTTCGCAAACCAGACTGATCCTGGTAAATTCTCTAGACGGATTATCTCGGATTGTCTATTTAACAAGAATCTAGTCGAATGAAGTTCTTA